TTATATTTAGTATGACACTTTTTATTTGTGCGATTACCTATGTTAGATTATAATAACTTTTTTAACTTACAACATATAACTACATTAAACATAAATATTTTATTTTTTTATTATTATAAAGATAAATATAATTTATTTATTTCATATATACAATATGGATGTCATATCGAATATCATCAAACGATGAATAATTTGATATATCATATATATAAAACTGATAAGAAATACAAAAGTTATCAACTTTTAATATATATTTATAATTCAATAGCTAATGGAAGGCAGCAAATCACAAGTCAAAGATATAATAGTCATTTATTGTCTCACTATGTAAAATTACAAAGAATTGAAGGGTTATATTAGTATAAGTGATATTAAAATGCCTAAGTTAGTTAAATATATTTATGAAATGTCTGAACCTAGATTATTAATTATTAATATATCAATATTATTTGTCCAAACCTAATTATGAAGCATGATTTATCACCAAGTAGGATTTCGAAGCACCAAAAGCAGCCACGTAAGCTCAGCACATTTGGAAATTATATATAGGAAGGATATTTAGTCAAAAAAACTAGCTGATATAATAAACAAGTTAGTAAAACTAGTTGATATATCGAATGAAATAAAAATTTCAATGGTTAATATCAAGTGGACACATTTTAATATCCATTAATATATAATAAGAATTAACATAATTCACTTTTATGAACACTTCCCGCCAATTTCATTAATTATTGCCTAAACATAGTAAATTAACCAAAATCGTTATTTATTAGCATATATGTTTTTTCTGTTTTTTTTAGGACTACAATAAAAAATATAGAATCATAATCCAAATAAATCTCCTCTTTTTGTGGCTGGATATAAATCTCCTCTTTTGAAGGCTTAATATCCTGCGTTTATTAAGGAGCCTGCCAAAAAAAAGATTAAGCTAAATTGGTTAGTAAATTCTTTGATTACATTTCAAAATGAGATTAACCTTTTATTTTTGGCTAAATTTTGTAAATGATTTTCGAGAACTAAATTAATTTTTTAATTAATTGCTTTTGGTACAAATCTGATACATGGTCCTTTTTTTTTTTATGTCATAGCGATTTTTGTGTGCTACTCATATTTATCATTTAGAAAACTACTTGCTATTCATATTATGATTTGAAAAACTAAATCTATTGTATAATGAAACAAAATAATTTCAAAAATCACATTTTCGATCGATGTTAAAATGAAACTATTAAAATAAAATAGATAATCACAAATCCATATTATCACAAGTCAATACATAATTAAATATAATTTCATATTCATAAATTATAATTAAGATATATTTTACGGGTAGAAAATTACATGTGTAAATTAGCAATTACTATAAATATCGATCTACAGTTGTCAAGTGCAAGATAATTTACATGGAAAAACAAGAAGGATTTTAACAATGTATGACTTTTTCATGATGAACATTTTTTTATTACCTGATAAATGTCCTACAATATTATAACTTATTGATTAATATTAGCTTTTAATTATAAATTTTACCAAAACAAATACAGCTCGTACATCGCACGGGGTTACGTACTAGTGGATGATTAGACTGCATCAGAATTTTACATGTTGCATTTGATAGTCACACCATATTTAATTTAGGTGACATAATTATGAGGTGGCCTTATTTAGGATGAAATTTTCACAAATAAGTTATATTTAAGAGAATATTAATTAATAATAATAGTTGGAGTCTTTTGATAATGGAAAACAAAGACGTAGATACCTTAAATGAGGCGGGTTTTGAGGGAGCAGGTAAAGAGGACGTGGGTTGCATCACATAGAAACACGCATTTACGTAATTCATGTGGTGAGTTCTGTAGGGAAACACAATAATATTATAGGGAGATGCGACGTCTCGTTATGTAAATATTTCGTCGGAGTTTATAACCATTAAATTATATATAATACACTCAAGAGCGCTTGGATGAGATGACTTGGTTTCTTCCAGCTTAACCAGTGGTCTCGTGTTCGAGCCTTGGAAATGCATCAGTGTTAAAACTTTTGAGGGAGAGCTTTGCCCATTGTGGTCCTACCCGGCTGGATTCCAGATTAATCGGTTCCCATGTGTATCCGGAAACTGAAAGGTCACTGTTCCAAAAAATTATGTATAATACAATTATACGTACGCCACTCAAAATGTGGAGCTATTTGCACTATTTTTTATAAATAAATGAAACAAGATTCGTCTTTTTTTTTTAGAGAAAAAAATTAAAACCTTACAATTGTATTTCTCAATATTATCATTATAATTAAATAATATATAATTTTTATACATTATATCAACTTTAATTTACTATTTATCCGCTCACATGATTTTAAATATCGCTCACTTTCAACTATTTATTATCTTTTAAACTTACATCAAAATAATTTTAATATCATTTTATGTTAAATCTTTTTTTAATATAAATTTAAAATCTCATCACTAACAATTAATCATACCAACTTATTCAAAATTAATCATAATTAATAAAAAAACCAATGAAAAAATGATAAATTAGTAAACATTAATGCACGTGTCGAGACAGAACTCGTCATGTCAAAAATCGAGATAAAAATTTTGTACATATTTTTTTGATTTTTTTTTTTAACTTTACTCTTCTAGTTAAGACTTGGGTCGACTAATTACTGTTAAAGACAATGTATACATCTTTATTAAGCTTAGTTAATTTAATTAGTTCACGAGTCTCTTAAACATGTTTAGAGATAAAATCAAAATTACACGAACGATATAAATTGTGATGGAACACTTCAAAATCTCTGAATGATATGAGTTGGAAATTAATTAAGTCCTACAAGAAAATGACACCCAATAACCGATCGATGACTTTTTTGGGAGTTTTGGTTTTTTGTAGGTTGAAAATCTTATATGTATAAATGACTAATTAATAACAATACCAACTATTTGTATGTGTGATGATATATATAATCCATAATAATTGACTTAATATATGTGTGTGGACTTAAGACTTTATAAACAATTATAGACTTATCCAGACAAGTATAATTTTTACACGAGAACACAGTATACAAGACTTTATTAGATTAGATAAAAACATAGCTGAACGACATTAATTCTCTCCTACTCACGGTGGACACACTTATGTGGAATGCACACATTGGTGATGTATTTTTCTCAACAAATTAACATCACCAATATATGCATGTTACATAAACGTTAGGCATATTAACATGCACACACCGTGAGTAGCGGAGCATTACTCATCAAAATGATATAGAAGGTACGGAGTATTCCCGGTCCGTGCGTGCGAG